AGCCCACCCCTCCTCCCTGTGCAGTCTTGTGCCTGGGGGGGGGGGAGAAAAACGCACCCCAGCGATGGGCCCAGGGTGGAACCCCCAGGAGGCACGCAGAACACCGCCGCTCTCTCTGCACAGTCCAGCACAGGTGGAGGCAGCGCAGATATGCGCTCCGATCTCTGCTCCTCACCCTCAAACCCTGAGAGGAGCCTGCCGGAGGAGCCCAGGGGAAAGAGCGGCTAATTCTTCCTCCCGTTGCTTGTGGCAGGGCTCGCGGCCAGGGCCGGGGAGTAAGGCAGGGGTGCCTAGTCACCGGCCCCCAGGCTCTGGCACAGCCAGCATCTCACTGGTGCAGAGCAACAGACTGCCAGGCTTCAGTGCTGTTAGTTCAGAGAAAGAGAGAAGCCGGCGGGAATCTCTGTTGTCTTCATCCCCCGACCGCACCCCCCGCCTCCCCCAGCTGGCCTTTCGAACTTACTTTTTTTGTCTTGAACTGACACCTCTAAGTGCTAGAAAAGTAAGTAAATCAAATTGCAAGCTTCAAAGCAATTTCAGGACCCCCTTTGAGGAGAAAAAACGGGGGTTAGCTACAGCCCATCACTGTTGGCCCTCTGGGCTCCTTTCTGATTTTTAATTCATGGAGGAGTTGCTGTTGCTATTTCACGGGCCTTAAATAAGGACTGTGTAAAGACTGGGGTTATTGCTTGCATACAAAGCAGTGCAGCGGGCATATATCAGAGGTTTGGCCCACAAGCATCAGCCTCCTATCGCTTCTCCACACACCATGGGGGAAGAGCATAGGGCATCTCTGCATTGCTAGGGGGCTAAAAAACCCCACTTTGTGCAGAGCCTCCTGAACTGAGGTCCTGGTGTGTTTCCCCTTTGGAATCCCAGAAGCACCATCTGATGGGGAAGACAGCTTAAAATATTGGGCAGAGAAACCATTAGGAAGAAGGTGAACCTCTGATTCTCTAATCAAAGATGCAGCTTCCCAGACTGTGTTTTATTTTGTTTGTGCTAACAAAGTCTTTTGAAATGTCCTTGAGATCCAACATAAGGCATGTTGAGTTTGCTGTTAAGTCCATCTGAAAAGGATCCCAGTGGAGATTAATCAATCAAAGGCACACCTCAGTGGTGACCAGCATGATATGGCAGGTGGACCTTTGTTTAGAGTGCAACAAACAGGAAGTTCATCACCTTCTGCTTTGTGGTTTTCCCTCCATTGCAGCAGATAACGAAGGTATCCGTGTATCCAGTGTGCACAATGCCCCCAAGGAACAATGTTTGTGTTTAATGAGAGCTATGGCACTCCCTTCTCCTTCATCCTGCTGGGTATTCCTGGTCTTGAAACCTCTTACTATTGGATCTCCATCCCACTCTCATCAATGTATATGGTGACACTGTTAGGAAACAGCACCATGTTGTACGTTATCATAACAGAGCAGAGACTCCACAAGCCCATGTACATCCTCCTCTGCATGCTGGCCACCATAGACCTGGTCCTGTCCACCTCCACCCTGCCCAAGATGCTTTGTATAGTCTGGTTCCAAGCTGGAGAAATCAGTTCCAAGGCCTGCATGGCCCAGATGTTCTTCATACATTCCTTCTCTGTCATGGAATCAAGTGTGTTGGTGGCCATGGCCTTTGATCGTTACGTGGCTATCTGCAGCCCCCTGAGATATGATTCCATCTTAACCACCCCACTGCTGACCAAGATTGGCATTGTGGTGATCCTGAGAGGCATGATCTTCATTGCCCCAATCATCATCTTAGTGGCACGCCTTTCATACTGCAAAACCAACATCATTGCTCACACCTACTGTGAACATATGGCTGTGGTGAAACTGGCTTGCTCAAGCATCCTGGCCAATGTGGTCTATGGGCTTCTTGTAGCACTCCTTGTGGTTGGGGTTGATTTGCTGTTTATCACCTTTTCCTACTGCATGATTACAAGGGCAGTCCTGGCTCTGCCATCACGAGATGCCCGCTACAAAGCCTTCAGCACCTGTGCCGCTCATGTTGTAGTCATCCTGGTGTCCTACACACCAGCTCTCTTCACCATACTGACACATAGGTTTGGCCATCACGTGTTGCCTCATGTGCACATTCTCCTGGCCAACTTCTACCTCCTCTTTCCTCCCATGCTGAATCCCATTGTCTATGGAGTGAAGACCAAGGAGATCCGTGACAGAGTGGTTGCCATTGTTCTTAGGAGGAAAGGCCTTCCATGAAGGATCTCACAAGGACTTTCTACACTATTCTTGCTTCCGCTCTCCGATCCCTCAAAAACAGTTTACAGTCAGCTGAAACACTGAGAACAAGGAGGAAAAGCCACCGTCCCAGTCCTGAGCTGCAGCAGGTTCTGTAGTAAAAAGCCTCTTCGCGCTCAGCACCAACACCGTGGGATCACAGAGGTCTCAAGCTGCTTTCAAAGTGGCGCAGAGTCCTTACTGTATGTAAAAGTGCCCTACTCTAGAAGAACTTAATGTCTGTCAACAGAAAATGCATGAGATTGTCCATAAATTTAGTGATGTCCCTACAGTAGGCAAAACACGCAATAGGAGCCTCACACCTCATGGCTGGTTTTGGGAACTCCCTATGGCTTTCTGACTCAGCGTGTTTCCGTCTGGACTGGCTGGCCCTTTTGGACTCTTATGTCACTACCAGGCCCACAGAACTCATCAGTGGCCTGAGGATGAGTGTGTATGAATGAACCATTCCCTCCTTTGTTGTTCAAACAGCTTCACCTCAAGGAGAACTCTTACCCTTTCTTCCCACAGGGTTAAGAGAACCATCTCTTTCTAGAGTATGCAAAAACTAGGATAAGTATGTAAATTCATTCAAATATTTAGATGAATTCCAATCTGGTCTTAGGCTCAATCTGGGGTAGAAATAGTCTTGGTTATCCTGAGGAAAACTGGGAAAAGAGAAGCAAAGTTCAAAATTCTTGTTCTTCTGGACTTCTTAGTAGATATTGACACCATTAACTACGGTAGTTTGCTAGACGGGTTGTCTTGCTTAGGCTTAGGAGGCAGTTTTATTAAGGTTCCACTCCTTCTAAGAGAACAGGCTCCGAAACTGGTGCTTAGAAAACCTCTACATCATAGTCACTCATTTAAAGTATGCAAATAATTCCAACTTGGGTCAACCCATAACTCATGTCATTATCACATGCCAGGGCCGCTGCTATAAAATTCTTGGATCCATGTTTAAAAGCAGTTGTGAGATGGCTAAAAGGATCCACCCAAGCATAATTAGGTTAAATATTACTCCATGTATAACTGGATTCCCTAGATAGAAGCTTAGAGTCCATGTTTAATGCTGTAATTTCTCAGTGAAAGACCCAGTTTAGGAACTTATTTGTGTATTAGAGGGGTAATATGGGCACACAAGCAAAACTCCCCTGCCCCTGCCCTCCCCCAACCCAGTTGCTGTCTTCAGTTCTGCACCTCCAAAATCCGCAAGGGTCTGTGTTTAAGATGAATGCATCTACAAGCCCTCTGCAGAATTTGGTGCTCAATGTTACAAATAGGCACATGGAGAGATTGGGGTAAAGCTTGGGCACATATCCTCAACTTTAGCCCGACTCATGGGCAGGAAGATGCTGGCATTGGCTTTGGACTCTGGGCTACCTGGTCAAGTTCAAGCTAGGAGGGTTTGGTTCAGGAGCTGCTTTATCTTGAAATCGTCATTCCTGACACACCAGTACATGTGACATCTGTACCCCACCAATAACAGCTCTCCCAGATGAAGAACTGTTTAAGTTGCTTGATGCATAGCATTAGACCCACTCATAATTATTCATTTTATTTTACCATTCTTACTGAGCTAAATGCTGTTTGTGACAACTATCATATTTTGGCACTTGGATTTAAAAATCCATGTATGTTGTTCTATGTTTTAAAACTTGTAACCTGATTTATACTGTAACTGCCTATGCTGGAAGCCTCCTTTGGAAGATTTGAACTTCAAGGGCAGCCATTGATGGAGGCTTACTGGATAGGAAAACTGAAGAAGCCCAAACAAAAGTTTCTCTCCCCAGAGGTATGAGCGGCAAACAGACTGTCAGTCTAGCCCTCCCAAATTTGGTGCTTTCCACATGTATCAAGCAGCAGCTCCCATCATCCCCAAGACCAGCTGCGATGCTCTGCCAGCATTTCTGCTCTGCAAAGGCTCTTCCAAGACTGCAGAGGTGCCGGAAGGGCTCCTAGAGCCACCCTTCTGGCGCCAGGGCAAGGGCAGAGAGGCGGCCTGCTCACCAATCCCCTTTTGCTCTCTGCAAACACCCCCCAGCCCCACTTAGATGGTTGGCCGTTTGTTCAAGGAAGTCATCACTTGATGACTTTCTCTATACAGTCTATTTCTCTGTAGAGTAAAAGCTGGCACTGCTTCCTTCCTTTTAAAGACATAGTTTATGTATTAATTTTTTAAAAACGAGTAATTGTGTGCTGCTTGGACTGCTAGAATTATAGTGGTAGCAATTTCAGGATGAAAGAAACATAAATGCTGCCTAAATAAATAATGCAGCGAACAGGAATTGAATATCCTGCAGTAATACGGAGGCACCTCTAAGGATACTGTCCTACGAAGAGAAATGAGGAGCTGGGTGTGAGAAATGATGGAGGGGGGACGGGGAGGAGGATAGTGCTCTTCAAATATCAGAAAGCTGTCACCCAGAAGGCGGCACGACCTCTACTCTCTCATGCCAGAGTGCAGGGCATGCAATAAAAGCTATCCTTGAAGAGTATCCGGAGGCTACAGCTGGTCCAGAATGCGGCCACGCGGGTTATTTTTGGAGCCCCAAGGCGGGTCCATGTAACACCTCTGCTCCGCGAGCTGCATTGGGTGCCAGTCTGCTTCTGGGTCCAATTCAAGGTGTTGGTTATCACCTTAAACGCCCTCCATGGCATGGGCCCAGGTTCCCTGAGGGACCGCCTCTCCCCTATGACTTCAACCCCTCCCACCCGATCACACAGAGAGGGCAGGCTTCGGACCCCCTCGGTGAAAGAACTTCGACTGGCGGGGTCCGGAGGGTGGGCCT